ACGAATGTTTACATGATTCATGTGATCGAAAATGACTCAAAGTCTAGTAGTTTTAGCTCCACGCATTGGACCAGGCACGAATGTTACCCTCACATCTAAATTTAGTAAATATGAATATGCAAATGTTGTTGTTTTATTTATGTTGTTACACATGCACGCCAACTTTTCGCACGCACAAACAGCGAACACAGATAGATATTTTCTACTTGTAATTTAAAGGGTCTTTTTGGTACGTACACACAATAGTACGAATAATGTCACACGTGTCCTTTTTATTTATAATAATTGAAAAGGCCACTGAGATCTCGTTGACAGCTAGTTAGCCACGAGATTCTCTCCTGTCACTGTTTCTACTTTTTCAAATACTATCAGACAATATGGCATTTTAAAATGTTACTGTTTTGACGGAATTGAACCATGATCGAACACAACTCCTCCAACTAACCCGTTATGCGCTAAAATTTGGAATTGTGATATGGTTTAGGTTCCACTGATCTGTGTAGTTTTTGGAACAAAGCGGGAGAGAATTATTGAAACACTATTTGTGGTTTAAACAAAGTCTCGCGGCTTTCTCGCCCCCAAACAAGATCTCGAGAACCATTTGCGTCCGAGCTATTCCCACAACCCAATTGTAAATTATCTCATTCTTAGACCTTCTCGTGGTAAAGGAGAAGAAAAACATGGACGATGCTGTTGCCTACTGCGAAAGCCAGGGTCTAATTCTTGTCAAAGAAACGGATTCTTTCAAACATGACGATGTAGTCAATGCCATGACTGAAGCTGGTATAAAGAACGATGACATCTGGATTAATGGAGACATTAAATCGTCAAAGGAAGTCATTGCTAGTGATGGTGACATACTGGATGACTATCTGCCGTGGCAGAGTGGCCAACCAGATGGAAGTGGGGATTGTTTACAACTGTGGTAAGCAATGGACCTCGATGTAAATCGTTCATTTAAAGTACTTATTTCATTGCATGGCTACATATGTGCTATATGCACATATCAAGTTCAAGTTAAATTTGTACTGCGGCTATTGCGAATGTAGCAGTTTAGGTCAGTCAAATCGCCACTGAATACTCACAGCTCAAGCCAGTTCTAGCTGACATCAAATCATGAACGACTGAGCATTTCACTGCTAATACACGCAATGTATTGTGGGATAGAACTTACCAGTAACTTAACAATATTAGGATTCGTGTCAATATTGAGATATGACTTTTTCATCTCGTGTCTCCGAGCAAAATATTGAGATATGAAAAATTAGTTCCGCAGAAACCAATGAAAAAATGTTAGTTTTGATCATTTTTCATGAGATTTTGAACTCAAACAATTTTCCGGTAACCCCATTGTTATTTTCGGTATCCGGATGGCATGACATTGGAAGCGTGATGAACATTACATATGATACTTCAATTCAGCTCGAACCTCTTATATTTTTTTTTGTCTTACTGTATTCAGTATATATCACATTTATCGGTCATATTCGGTACACATAACGCCATAACCAAGTTACTGCATAGAGCCGCACCCAATTCTAGAACGCCAATTGACCAATTAAAGGCAGCTTTAGTACAAGCATTTGAAAGACACTAATATGACCGATAAAGGATGCAAGCGATTTTATATTATAAGACGCTCGTCCGCCAACTTTCAGAGGCAAATTCGCTTAGGGTCGAAAATTCTAAACCGATCCATATTCAAAGTTGAATTCTGCTCATTCGCGTACAGAAGACAGATTTTCTTGAATTTGATACTGAAGTCATCAATACAGACAGATGATATCGTATCAGTATATTTAATACCTTGTAAAATAATAACAACACATTTAGTACCTACGTTGTTTAACATCGAATACTATAAACCATGTTATTGGATCGACTCGTTACCTGTATTACTGGGTTTCAATCGCTTTACATTATATAGAAAATCGAGCATAGCTACTGTTTTGAAATATCGTGTTGAGAAAATGAGTTCAAAACCAAAGTGAACTCATAAATATTAATCAAACTGAACTATTCGACATAGGGGGCGCTATTCTCGTTTTACAATTTGACGCTACTCGTTTTCCATCGGATACATTTAAAAACACAAGGAGGCACCGTGTTTAGAATAAAACAAAAAATATATAACGTTTACACAATGAAGTCGCTGTTGTTTTATGTATAACGTCAGTTGTTGTTGACGTAATTTTTATTTCGTTATTTGTTGATTATACTAATATTTTGTTGTAATGGGAATAGCAGTGCAATCAACGATTTTTTTAAAGATCATACGAGTTTAGCTCGTTAAAAAAATGCTCAGATCATTTTGCAAATTCACTGTTGATTTTATGGCATAGTTTTCGAGAAAAAAATCGGCTATATCAATACTATTGTCTCATCAGTCGATTATTCTGCTTCCGATCAATACATACCAACGTTAAACGCAATTCAAGTCGATTTCTATTCAACGCATCTGAGTTACAAAGTTCACTTTCATTGACGTCATTGTTCAAGCCCCTTGTCAATCAA